TGGGTCACAACTTCGTCATCCTCTCCGTCCTCCAAGAAGAGCCCCTCACTCAGCTTCCTCTTCTTCTGCGATGTGGTGAGCTGGAATTGCAGGGTCTTCACCCGCCAAATGTTGTAGACGCACAGCATGCGCTTCTGCATTTCCCTGGCCACTCGGGAAATGGTGGTGTCTGCCGGGTGGATCTCTGGGGGGAAACGCATCTTGTAGCGACGCCAAAACTGCTGCTTGGTGTCTCGCAGCTCGGTCTCCCCGAGCATGGTATCGAGGTCCGACAGTGCGACCTTGGACCGATCCTGCTCCACCTGACGGTAGTAAAGCCCCACTGCGGCCCATGCTCTGCGGACCCTTGCTGTCATCAGCAGGGCCTTGTCTCCCAGGCCTAACTTGGCTACCCATGTCTCGATTGCCTGTTCTGAGGCCCAAAGGAACCGAAACTCTTGCAAGCTCTCCACCCCTAAACGGAGAAGGGCCTCCACTACCCCATCATCCAATAAGAAGTTGTCACCCAACTTCCTAAGGACTTCTTCGGGGGAACCCTTTTCCAGGGGGACTTTATCAGTCTCCATGGCCTGATCTTGAGGACACCCCTCTAGCTAAGGCCCAGGGATCCCTCCCTTTGACTGAAAACTGCGCCTCGGGTCTCCCCCGTGCAGTGTGCTCGAACGGCCTGACATGACAGATAGGACGCTGTTCCAGCAAAAACTAAAATACAAAACATGCATCAGATTTGAAAAGACAACATAGGCATCACATGAACTCACCTTCATGGAGTCACCTGATGACGTCAAATGTCCCGCTGGAGTCCCCCTCCTGCGTGTCCGACATGCCAGGACCAAAATAATGAAAAAGAAATGAGTCACTCATGACAGGTGCGGTTACCACAGTGGACCCCCCACTGTAACCTAGCAGCTTTATTTTTCAAACGCACTCGATGTCACTGCTGGGGGCGGTCATGCAGGCTGGATGTAAGCTCTTATCCAAGTCCCGAGCTGAGGAATTCGGCTCTCCATGGCCGGAACGGGCCTATGCAGCTAAGTCAGCGCAAAGGCCAAAAATTCGGCTTGGTCGATCAGGCCGGTGGCCACCATGATGCCGGTGCTCGTCGGAGGCACTGGTCACACCAGGGACGCTCCCAGGCTAGGGCCTCATAGATGTCCGTGGACATGTACGGGTTCACCAGGCGCTTCGCCTTCCCGTCAGCCTGCTTGTGCTGGCACAAGGTGATGCCATCCTCGACCGTGACATGTGTGCTGGAACGCTCTGTGGCTGCATACCCCTGGGGTTCAGGATGCTGTGTCCCCACGGCTGTGTCCTGGAAGGTCTTATGCAGCCACTTTTTCATGCCTTGGTCCTTGATCACCTTGTGAAGCTCTGTGTCCCGGCGACTCTCCACGAAGTTGTTGGCCGCCTCAATGGACTCGCCTTCCAGCAAGGCTCGGCAGAGAATGCCTAGATAGGCCCCACGGTGTCTCCCTTTGATGCAGTGCACTAGGACATTGTCACCGTGCCAGACCGTGTTCTTCACAGCTGGCCACACGTCTGTCCATTGCTCATTGCGCTCCTGGCTGTAGGCCGCCGCAAAGGTCATCAACTGAGCTCCCGGGAGGGTCACCCCCCCCGGCTCTCAGGACCATGCGGGAAGCAGCAAATCTGCAGTGCCGTCTTGGGGAACCTATCCATGGTCTGCTGCATTGGAAGTCCCGCCAAGTAGAGGCCACCTCCCTTCCGTGACTGCCAGATGCATGTTGGAGCCTGGGCTGTCCCTGAGCCAACACCCAACCTTTCGAGGTGCATGTCCAAGGTATCACCTGCCGCCTTCCCACGGCCTTTCTTGGGCATGGCCTTGATCTGTGGCTTTCCAGGGGCTGCCATACGCTTGGGAGTTGTGGCAGTCGCCATTGGCTTGGGGGTAGTAGCCGTAGCCTTTGGAGGCGTCTTTGGGGCTGCAATCGCCGGCGCCTTAGGCGGTGTCCTCGGTGCAGCGCTGCCTCGGGCTCTCTTAACGGCTGAGCGCATAGCCTCTGCCACCTCATCATCGGTTGCTCCACTTGCCCCGGTCCTCTTTCTGCCGAACTGAGCCTTCGCTCCAACGGCTGCCGGCACCAAGGATGCCGAAGGCTTGGGGGCTGCCGGGACTGCGGTCTCAGCGAGCACTGCGCGCTTGATGCGGCACACATGCGCGCTTGATGCGGCACACACCAGCGCCGTGTTTGCCACCGCATGCCCGTCCCGATTTTTGTAAGACGGCACATAAGTGCACTCCGAAGGGACAGGAGTCTGCTTCGTTCGGGCACGAATCCGTCTGGTAGTCTGGGCAGATGGCCTTGCCGTTCTTCAGGGTGGCTGTCAACACTTTCCCCTGAAGGTGGTCCGGCATTTGGGGGGCCGATGCCGCTTCTGCCTCCTGGCGGGCTTGTAGCGCGGCTTCAACAAATTGCTGTGACAGTTTGAGCCTCTTCTTCACATCCTGAAAGTTGTGGGAGGAGGCCCACATTGGTTGCCTGTCCTGCCTCAGCAACCGGTCTGCCTCTGCTAAGCCGTGGACCCGGGCTGCGTCTAGCTCTGACTGCGGGATCGCCTCCCACAGCAGGTTGCTAGTCAGCTTCGCTGTCGCACCCCAGATCAGTGATTTCACCTTGATCGACGCGGCGTATTTGGCCGACGAATAGTGGAAGGCCATTGCACCCACTTCTGGCACCTCGCCCTTGGCTTGCCAGTCACCCAGGGCGGCCATTTCTTCAGGCTTGCATTCCAACAATTGGGCCACCGTGGGTGCCAACCTTCTCCAACTGTAGGTGGGCAGGTCTTCAGGATTGTCGAGGAACACGGACATTTCCTGTTGCATCGTTTCTTGAACTTCAAGGATCGTCCAAGGGCGTCCTTCGTCCGAAAAACAAAGACCTGCCAGCCTCTGCCTTGCCGGTGCCAGTGTCCTGTAGGCCTCCAACACCTCCTTGGCCCAAAAGAACCCATTGGCAAAGGTGGCCGGCACTGCAAAGTCGAATCCCTCACGAGCATGCCTTTGTTTGCCTTTGGGACACCTGCAATGGAGGAATGCAGCGGTGAGGCGTCGAGGTTCTGTTCGAGATATATGCGCATACCTCAAACAGCCAAACGCCATGATCCAAGGGGCCAGGAGGACTGACCACCTTTCATCGCCTACCGCATGCAGTTCCATGATGCGGTCCTCCAAGGCCTGCACCAAGGGTGGCTCGACCACCGGGGCTTGCCCACGCTGCCCAGTCGCCCTGGGTGTTGTGGGAACTTGCAAGTTGCCCAGCTCAAGATCCTGGTCGGCATTCTTATTCATCCACTTCAAAGCTTGGAGTGCCCGTGCTGGTGCCGCTGTGTGGTTCAGGAACTGGTCAAGGTCGACCATTCCGGGAGGAGCGGGTCGCCCCCGGCTCTCCAAGAAGGTCCTCAGCTCCAACCAAGTGTTAACCACTCTGTCAATGGTGGCCTTTTCAGCGTCCTTCACCTTCTTTTCGGCGATCCTCCTGCACGTCTGCTTCCATTCAGCTTTGAGGGTGTCGGTCAAAATGCCGGCTGGCTTGTACGCGCCCATGCCAACAAACATTGAAACCACGCCGTTCCCCTCTTCTGGACGGCTTCACTCAGGTTTTTGTCGACGTTGATGGCTCTGGGCTTCTTCTTGTAGATCGTCTTGCGCACTGGGCGCAGAGTGGCGTAACCCTTGGGGTGGTCCTCCACGACTTTGGCTCCAGCGGCAAGGAGGGTTTCTTCGACCCTTGCTCGCGTCTGCAACCAGTCATCGGCGACATGATGGCCAGCGAGTCCAACGACTTGATCGTAGTCTGTGTAGGCATAGGCAAAGTCATTGTCATCCAGAAGGCCTTCATTCTCCCTCCATTGGCGAGCCCTCTGAGCAGCAATCATCATTAAAGAGTCGGCCGCCCTCCATCCTGGTGCAGGGTCACCCCCTGACGAAGATGAGGCTGCCGCCTGAGCTGCATAGTAGCCTTTTCCGCCTGATGCCATGGCACTGCACCCTAACAGAATTGCTAAGGTGCGGAGAGCAAAAAGATGCTGCGGTGACTCCAGAGGTGCCTCCTCTGTCATAGCATCAACCTTCAGCGAACATCTTCTTACGGCCTCCACAAACTGTGCATGGCTGCCTCCATGTATAGCAGTCACTACACATGCCAACGCAGCAGGCCCAACACACGCGCCTGGTGGGGTCGCCGCACTCCGTGCATGCAGTCCCCAGCTGCCCAGCGTCGCCCGCTGAACATCTGAGCTGGAGTCCATAGAGCTCTTGGGGCACCACGTCCTCGGCCACTTTGAAGTTCGTGTATGCCGAAACCAGCAGGAGATCCATGGGTTCCTGGTGCTGGTAGTAGTACTCCCAAGCATCCGCAGGCGCCACATCATCAGGCAGCACAACTCCCCGGCTATTCCACAAGCCAAGCCACGGGAACTTGAACCCACCCACATGGGCTGCGCAACGTGGACATCCATCAAGGCAGCAGGGCATTTTCGGCAAGGGGGGAAACAACTCACAATCTGTCCCAGTAGTGAGAACGTAGGGGGAGTGCAACACCTCGATACCATGCATCCAGCATGTGTATGCTGCTGGGCCCGAGTCCTCCCTTGCTAGCCTCTCCACGTGGTTCTTGAATTCCAAAAACGCAGCCGCATGCAGGATCTTCGCCTCAGTGGCTGCTGGAATATCAATGCCTGGGAGTTTGCGCTGCATACAAGGTCACCCCTTGTGTTGAGTTTGAACCAACCAATCAAGGTCAAGTAAGGTCGCCCCTTACAATGACCGAGAAAGAAAACAGCAATGAATGCTATTTTGGTTCAAGTTTACTTGAGCCAAAATGATAGCATTCATTGAACACTTGAAGATGATACATGCACACCCAAGCCTGCCAAACTCGATGCATGGGTATATATATATATATTATATTATAGTAAAAAAATGTAAGAAGATCTGTTTATCGCTAAAAACTGAACCATCAATCACCCACCCTTCACGTTTAGGGCTCCGCGATGAGGTCTGAAACCTTGAGCTTCTGCGATTTTCGGCGAAAGCGGTACTGCAACCAGTGCCCCACGATCCACAGAATGCAGATGCCTCTGGTGGGGAAATGGGGACAATATGGGTTGATATGGGGTGTGGGTATAGATTCTCCTGCAAAAATTGGTGTGCCAAAAAAGTTGCAATTTCCATAGGGACATGACGTGGTGATAGGAAAATGATTTGAGGAAAGAGGAGCTATAGGAGGGCTCGGGCAAGCATGGCTTGGACACTTCCTTGATGCTGATGAGCGTCATCCATTAGATAGTTACGTGATGTTACGTGCATGATTTGAATAGACATGCAGGCACATGTATATATACATAATTATACATAATATGCATATTGTTTTAAAAAGTGTATGTATATGTAGTATAATATACTTGTTATGTATATATTGAGGACAGCAAGGCCGCAAACACTATATATCATGATATTGTACTAAACCTGACCACAAATATCTCCACCCACCCATGCATCCCAAGCTCTTGTATATTCAGTTCTGTTTCCACCAGGGCACCATGCGCCAACACCGTGAAGCCGTGCAACGCCACACGCCCCACATCCAGCTCTGACACCAGACCCAGGTCGATGCGGCGAAGCAGCAGTAAGATGGCCAGAACCAGCTGGGGGAGGTGGCAATAAAGCAGGAAACGGCTGCCTCAGCGGACCAGCCTGCCCTATCTATTGCGACAAGGTGGGTGGTTCTTTTGTACAGAATTGATCCAAGCGATTCGTGACTGGATCATATACTGGCGGAATGTTTTTGTGAGTGTTGTTGTTCATAGGTGGTTTATTTTGTAAAAAATGCAATCCAATAACATATTGTACATCTATCATGAATAATTTGGCCAACATAAATTGTCCATGTAGCTCCGTCAAAAGGCGATCCGTCCTTTTGGCATAGGGGTAACCTGTCCATACCTGTCCGAACCAAATGCGAATCATTGAAGCCCAAACTCAGGTTGTCTTGCAATGGTTGTTACATGTTTGGGCGCCCAGTGGTGGTCACCAGGCCAAGGTGCTCCGCCACAAGTCACCCATCCGAGGAATGGGCGACAGCTGGCTACACATCGGGCACTTCGCAGCACACCTTGGAGCAAATCACAAGGCCCCAAGGCAAAGGCAGGAGAGACGTCCCCAGACAGACGACTTTTTCACGTGGTGGCTTTTGCACAGAGAAGGATTTACGCTGAGTAATTAACCTTTACACAGACAAACCTTGCCACAGACAACCTTTGTAACGTCGCCAAATTGCAATTTTATATACCTCAGTTTTGGCCGTTTGACCTTCATTTTGTGCGAAAGGGTTGCATGTGGCAATTTTACCTCAGTTTTTGACATTCGTTTCGTGTGACAGGGCGATGCCACGAGCCACAAAATTCGCATCTCACCACACCCTTGTGCGTCCGACCCGCTCAATCTCCGCACAGGGCCGTCGCCGGACACAGAAAATGCGAATTTCACATCAGTTCACCACACGTTCGTGCGTCCGACACGCACGATGTTCGCAGAGGGTCACGTTTCGATGGACACGGCCGGCCCTCGCCGCCTAAAGAGAGAATATAGTACTTAAGAAGCAGGAGCTTTGTAGGAGTTCAGATGCAAGTCACCTGGAAGCGAACTCCTGTGTAACAACGCCCGTGTAACAACTCCTGTACAACACCCACTGTGTAACAACTCCTATGTAAGAACTCTTGTGATCTCTTGTGTAATAGCCCCTGTATGCCCCTGTGCAAATGACATTGTAGGAGTTTTGTAGGAGATATGTAAACGTTGAGCACCTGTAACTGTAGATGAAGTTGATGTGGATGATGTAGCTGATGTATGCGACGTAGATGAAGTTGATGTAGGTGTATGTAGGTGATGTAAAGGATATGGGAGAGAGTATGTGACGTAGATGAAGTTGATGTAGATGATGTATGTAGATGATGTAAAGGATACAGGAGAGATGTAGGAGATGTAGCTGATGTATTAATGTGGAAGAAGTTGATGTAGGTGACGTAGAGAAAGTAGGAGATGTTATGTAGATGAAGTGAAAAGTTGAATTTGGCAGCAGTTCTTTGCGGGAAAAACTCCAACCTTCTAAAAAATCCAACTTTCCGCTCTATTTCCCGCAATTTTCACCTAAAGTTTCCCCAAGATGTCCATTTTGTGGGCTGCTCTGACTGCTCTCATAGATTTTTGGGTGCCACCCCCACACACCACCTACCTCCACTGATTCTTTTGCCAAGCAACAGCTCCGTGGTACCCGGCACCTTCCGCACAGGGCTCTCTGGCTGAGGGCCCACCACGCCAGTAAAGCGGCGACCTCCGCAAGTTGACGGGGTGTCCAACTGGAAAAGGCCATGAAATAGTTGAAAATTAGTTGGTTTTTCTTGGTGGAAATGTTCACTAATGTTCTATGGTTCGAACTATTGGAAATTACCATTTTCATTTGCACCTCCAGGCTGCATGGGCGCACGGTAAAAATGCAACGCGTCGGGCGAGATCGTCACGACTGCGGCCTCGCCGTGGGCTCAATGGAAAATAACTATAACTTATTTGCTTGCCATACTTCCATAATAATCATAATATTCCAGATAAATTCTGAATTCAAATATAAATTCATACACGTCCCAAATTTGGAAGAACCAAATGGAGAGTTTCTCTACCCCCCCTTTTTTCTGGCGGGTTCCCTTTCCACCTGTTCTTGTTTCCATCTGCTTTTTCTCCGGCCCCCTGCAGCCCAGCCTGAATCAACATGTTCGTGTTGGGATGCCGCCATCGCCAGATCCGCAGCTTGGTGCTGGAGCGGCGGCTGGGCGGAAAGGTCTGGAAGAAGAGGAGCCTAGGCCGATCTTCACAACCATCAGATCCACCGGGGGGGGCAAGTTTTGTCTTCAAAATTTCAGGGGTAAACAATGGGTAAACCCTACAGTGCCCTACAGTAAGTTTGATAGTCTATCATCACGTTCAGTATGTTACCCATTGCCATTTAGGGAGTATACAGACCCCATTTTTGCAGGCGCAGCCGGATCACTCCAGAGCATTGAAGGGCAGCAAAACGATGAGGCTGGCCAGCATGGGCCACATCTCCTGACATCTTAGGGTATCCAAGATCTGCAAATGGCCTGAATTTGCATTGTGGTAAACAAAAATGTAATATGACATAAATATACATAAATGGGGAAATCCCAATGAGGGGCGGTCTTCCCAACTATATCTGCTCGATGAGGGGGATCATTATCTTGGCATGAGTTGAGTTCCATAGTTTGAATGGAAGAAATGACCAGGAGGTGTCAAATCTGGATGTTAGGCGGTCAGATCATAACTGCACAAACATCGGTAAAAACAAAAATTGAGCGGCGTCGAAAACCGGGCAGCGATTTGGTTCTCATCCTTGTAAGCTTTCGCGACGGCTTTCACGTCTCTTTCGCGCGCGCAGTTTTGGCTTTCGCGACGGCATTTGTTTCATATAATATATCATAATATCGTTCGCGGTTGCTTTCGCGGAAAATTGCCCGTAAATGATGTTGTACATGAATATTTACATGCGCTTCTACTATCTACCTGCCTTCGCCGCTGCTTTCGCGGCTCGACCTTGACGCACTCCTTTCGCAGAGCTTTCGCGCGGCTTTCGCGCGCGGAAGTTTTGCTTTCGCGGGGGATTCCCCACATGAACCTGAATTCTAAATCCCTTCATGGAGGTTTTTGATGCTGCTCAATTGAGAAAGACCTTCTTCCATGGCGAAAATGACCAATGTCATCCAGCACCCCATGGTAAACGAACATGGCGTGCAGGGAAACATCAAAAAATCGATAAACTCCTCTACGTCAGGTTCCAAAATGGACCATTTTCCATTGTCACCTTTGCAACTGGAGGTCCCAACAAATTTTCTCTTGCTCCGTGAAAAAAAAAAAAACTAGTACGCCTGGGGCACCAAATCTGCCAGGAGGATCCCTGCCAACGCCGTGGCGTTACCCATCACGACCAGCAGAAGGCCTTAGGTGCCACATCTTGAGATCGACATCTGATGATCCTGGCTGGTATGTTGAAGCCATCATCGTCGTCATCATCGTCATCATCGTCGTCATCGTCATCGTCATCGTCATCATCCTCATCATCATCATCATCATCATTATCAGCAGCAGCAGCAGCATCACCATCACCATCCCGTCAATTTTGACAATGATCACAATAAATATAATCTACATAATGCAATGGTAGTGGCTGATGATTGATTGTCCCACGTAGACCCAACTGTGACTTTTTGTTGCTTGGTCTCAACTGCGGTCAAGGGTTGTTTTAGTCTACTTATATGTATATTATATAATTATATATATATAATTATATATACCCATCTGTACCCAATTTGGTTGCTAGTTTCAACCCAACCCATGTGAAAGTTTCAGTGGAATCCATTATCCCATACTTCGAGATGATAACACAAAAATAGTGAAGCCCAGCAACAAGATTTATTTTACCCTCCGCTAATCAAACATGGCAATGGAAAATCCCCGAACTAAATGGGTGTTGCAATGGGAAAATGAATCTTGAGTGTTTCAATTGCCACGCTTGATTACCGGATGGTATCAACTTTGACCCAGTTTGTATAAGGTAACTAACAAATGGAGCAACATCAAGATGAAAGTAATTACCCACTGTTCTTGGTGTGATATGCATCCCATTTTGTGGTGATCATGTTCACCAGCAAAACATGTCACCAATAACCATGGGGGGTTGACCCAGCAAACATGTTCATATGACGTGTGGAGAATGGCTAGCGACTGGTGAACAAGCATGATTGTGACTGTGACCCATTTGTAGAGGGGATAACTGTATGTAGTTTCGATAGTTCGGGGACTTGTTCATTGTTGTCATGAATAGTTGACGGTTGAGCCACTCCGCGAACGATATGAATGTCATTTGAGGATCATCTTCTCATTGTTGGGACCATGGAGGAGGGAAAACAACATGCTTGAAACTTGAAACATATTGAATCCTTCAATCAAAAATAGGTACAGTACACCGTTCCGGGATGTCAATTCCCAAACTCTTAGATGGAAGATTTCCCTATCAAGTTTTTTGAAAGGTTAGAAAATATCAGGTTTGGGCTTCTTACACTTTTCGTGACTGATTGATTGTGAAGTTCTGAGTGTGACTTGAACACCTTCCATCACTAGGAGTGGCAGTGACACTGACCACCATTACTATCTCTCTATATAACTTGTCAAAGGGGGTTGTTATAGTCCAAGCTGCATTGAACACAAAAAACCTTTAAAACCACCAAACATCACCACATTAGGCTGTGAAGTGTGCTGAAAGAAGTGTAGAACATGTTGAGGTGGGGTGAAACCACCAATGGGCAGACTATTGCTTGGAGAACTCTCAAGAAGCCGCTTGCTCTGCCATGACACGCAGCAACTGGCTGAAGCCTGTCTGCTGCAGCACTTCCCTCCAACCTATCGAGTCTTGGGATGTTTGGGATGGCACCGCATGGCACCCCTTGATATGGCTACTGGGATTGAAACTGATCAATGATCCCCTGATCCCCAGGTCATTCTCCAGGTCCATGGTTCACAACTTCGATCACCTATGGTTCAGCCAACATGATCCAGGATGATCCAAGAAGCGGATATTTAACTATGGCAACTATGGTCTATGGTTGGCTCCATCCCAACTTACGCTGGTTTAATTTCCCATGCTTGTACCCATGAAAGTTTCACCTCAGCTGCACCAACGCTCCCAGACGCAACCCCCTCGACCTGGAACTCCTGATTGCAAATCCATCTCCAGTTCTGCCTTCTGGTCCCCCGTGTAAGGCCGTGCTGGAAATTGCGCCTGTGGCGTGGCTATTTATTGATAACCCATTCGAGGTAGCTGGGTAAGCCCTCTTAGGCACAAGTAAAATCAATCACAAAGAAAACGAATTGAACAACAAATTCTCAAACCTCATCCGTTCGAAAGTTAATTGGTTTTCCATTTTGTAAGTTGGCTTATACATCAAAGGTACCAAACCTCAAATTGGATGGTACAGTATACCCTCCACTATATTAACATAGACCCTGAAAATGGCCAGGCTTTATATAGTGGAAGCTAATCTTTCACGCCCCTATTTGGAAGGGTCTATGTATGTCTATGTGACTTTCCTGGAGGGTAACAGTCATACTTACCATCCAATTTTACCCTCTGGTAAACGAACACCACTGGGGAAAAAAAAAAACTGTTTTTAATAGTTGAATCATCATGTGTATCATCTATTTCTATGGGCCATGGCTTCCATAGCTACGTCAAATAACTAGAGATTCTCCTTTAGAGTATTCCCATTAAATCCCGGATCCCTATTGAGTCCCATTAAATAACCGTACATCCTTTGGGGCTCCCATTTCGCGCCTGACAGGAACAGTCCGACAACTTCACTTCGCACTGGCTGGACGACTCCCGACTACCGGCCTGCGCCAGGCTGCCAGGGTGCTGGCACGTGGGGCTAAAATCAGAACCAGTGGGGGAAATTCTGTTTAAATTACAATAATTCATCTAGAAAAATGATTCGTATAGCTGGGTTTTTCAACCAATCAGAACATGTTTTATCACCTGACAGGTGATGGTCTCTAGATTTTAACAAAGGTGCAACTCCTTGCTCACCCTCCTTCCTCACCTTCCTCGCCACACCTTCTTCACCTTCACATTCTTCCTCCTCCTCCTCCGCCTCCGTCTTCTGCCATCTCGGCGGGACTGGATTTTAGATGGATCCGAGCCATGCGGCGAGCCCCGGACTCCAAATCCCCAGCCCAGGATGCTGTGGAGTGCGCCTGGACCCAAACTCATGCCAGAGAGAATGCCAGATAGAATGCGCGAAAAGATGCCAGATAGAATGTCAGAATAGATGCCAGATAGAATGCCAGATAGAATGCGCGAAAAGATGCCAGATAGAATGTCAGAATAGATGCCAGATAGAATGCCAGATAGAATGCGCGAAAAGATGCCAGATAGAATGTCATAATAGATGCCAGATAGAATGCCAGATAGAATGCGCGAAAAGATGCCAGATAGAATGTCAGAATAGATGCCAGATAGAATGCCAGATAGAATGCGCGAAAGATGCCAGATAGAATGTCAGAATAGATGCCAGATAGAATGCCAGATATATAGAATGCGCGAAAAGATGCCAGATAGAATGTCAGAATAGATGCCAGATAGAATGCCAGATAGAATGCGCGAAAAGATGCCAGATAGACTGTCAAATAATCCAGATAGAATGCCATCGTAGAATGCTGCGAAAAGAATGCCAGATAGAAATGTCAGAATAGATGCCAGATAGAGCCAGATAATGCTCGAAAAGTGCCATATAGAATGTCAGAATAGATTGCCAGATAGACTGCCCCGATAGAATGCGCGAAAAGATGCCGATAGAAATGTCAGAATAGATGCCAGATAGCATGCAGATAGAATGCGCGAAAAGATGCCAGATAGAATGTCAGAATAGATGCCAGATAGAATGCCAGATAGAATGCGCGAAAAGATGCCAGATAGAATGTCAGAATAGATGCCAGATAGAATGCCAGATAGAATGCGCGAAAAGATGACAGATAGAATGTCAGAATAGATGCCAGATAGAATGCCAGATAGAATGCGCGAAAAGATGCCAGATAGAATGTCAGAATAGATGCCAGATAGAATGCCAGATAGAATGCGCGAAAAGATGCCAGATAGAATGTCAGAATAGATGCCAGATAGAATGCCAGATATATAGAATGCGCGAAAAGATGCCAGATAGAATGTCAGAATAGATGCCAGATAGAATGCCAGATAGAATGCGCGAAAAGATGCCAGATAGAATGTCAGAATAGATACCAGAATGAATGCCAGATAGAATGCGCGAAAAGATGCCAGATAGAATGTCAGAATAGATGCCAGATAGAATGCCAGATAGAATGCGCAAAAAGATGCCAGATAGAATGTCAGAATAGATGCCAGAATGAATGCCAGATAGAATGCGCGAAAAGATGCCAGATAGAATGTCAGAATAGATACCAGAATGAATGCCTGAAAAAATGCCAGAATGACTGCCAGAATAGATACCAGATAGAATGTCAGAATAGATGCCAGATGGAATGCCAGAAAGAATCTCAGAATATATGCTAGAAAGTATGTCAGAATGGATGCCGGAGAGAATGTCAGATAGAATGTCAGAGCATCTGCAGGAAAGAATGTCAGATAGAATGATATAGAATGTCAGAACATATATGTAAATATACTTCCAGAATCTTCCAGATGTATGTCAGAAACTATGTCATCATAGTGTGTCAGGGTGGGGATGACTCGAAGCAAGTAATTTGACGAAAAATATGACAAATGTGGATGTTATCATAAAACTCATGGTTGAAAATCCCAAAATTGGATCAATTGGATATTTACCTTGGGTTACCATGCCTCCACCTAACAGAGACCCTGCCAAAATCTGCCAAATAGGGGTTGGAAGACTACTCTCCCTGTGCGGAATCATCGTTGGCCGGCCCTTGGCGTCCATCTGGCTCCTGGCTAAATGTGATGCCACAAACCACCAACAAGGCATGCACCTTGCATTGCACAGCACAATGGGAGAGCAAGGGCCATTCCGGTCCGCTGGCCGTGTCTTTTTGGATGGCCACCAGTGGGTCCTTAGCTGTGCTGAGACCGATTTCATGGGGATACCTTGAAAAAATGCATTTGGGCCGCATTTCTCTCCCCAGCTTTCCTGGTGTTGTTGGTGGCTGCATGCAGTTCATATACATAGTTACAGTATATATAATATATATATACAGTTATACATGACATGTTCCTCACTGGTTCCCTACTTCAAATTGCCACCTGGTAAACCCCTCTAACATGGTGGACCATATCCTGTCCCATCGTATCTTTTACCATCCCGACACGTTAATTGCATTCTCACGCGGGAATAAGCAAAGGAGACTATGGGCCAGGCCTAGTCAAATGTGTTGTTCTGCACTCTCAAGGCCTATTTTTGATGGATTGGGAGTTGCAATTTGAATGGGCACAGCCCCAAAGGCAACAAGCTTTGGACAGAACCCTGTCGCTAGCTGGGCATTGGCGAGCAGCAATTTGGCAGGCGGTCTCTGTAAAGATTTTCGGAAACGCTTGGACCCCAACCTCTCGGCTGATTTCGCTCTTGCAGGCACCTGCAGGCAGACCATGGTGCAGGGGGAGATCTGGCTGTTGGGCCAGCGACCCCTACCTCGCCTGTAACAAAGCCAGGCCCAGCTTGTGTGGCTTGTTCCCTGACGCTCAAGGATTCGGGCCTGCACCAACGAGTCGTTTCGAACCATGGACCCCGAACAGTTGTCAATGAAAATCCCTCTCAAGCCTGACTGACCTGAATAAATATATGTTTCCAATTGCCCTATTGCTTATCAATGCGGACAAAAGGCATCGCCGCCATCGTGGTCGTCATCATCGTCGTCATCGTCATCGTCGTCGTGGTCACCGTCGTCGTCGTCATCGTCATCGTCATCGTCATCGTCATCATCATCATCATCATCATCACCACCACCACCATCATCATCATCATCATTATCATTACCATTACCATCACCATCATCACATGACAGAAGAAGCTATACCAGTGGATGACCAACAAGGTTTCTTGGCGCCTTTGGGCCGGACCTTCCGGAACCATGGCACTGGCCAAATGCAGCCGCTCATCTTCCGACAAGCCCTGCCGTTGGGAGGAAAATATACCCTAAGGACATCAAACATGGGGACTGGGGGGGACCAGAACGTTCACAACCGTTAGTATATCAGTTATATCAGTACATCTTAGGTCTTTATTTTTGAGCAGGAAAAGAAAATAATGAATGTCCTCTGCTATTTCCCAAAAAATTGGGTACCCCTAAATCCACTGTTTTGTCCTCATGCTGCCTACTCTCGTATCAAAAGGCAGTTTTCGCAGGTATGCACCATTTTTATGCACTCTCATGTCCAGTAGATTGGAACAAACCTGTAAATGGGGTTCCATACATGGGGCTCCATTGTTGCTAGAATTTCCAATACATGTTATATATGTATGTATGTATGTATGTATGTATGTATGTATGTATGTATGTATGTATGTGCATGTATGTATGTGTATGTATGTATGTATGTGTGTGTAAACATATGTAAAGGTATACATATATATATATGTGTGTGTATGTATGTATGTTTGTGTGTATGTATACATGTATGTATATGTATGTATATGTATGTGTATGCATATGTGTATGTATATGTGTATGTATAGATATATGTATACGTGTATATATATATACAGTAGTGTGTGTGTATCCAAATGTATAGATATATATGCGTGTGTGATGTTTTTATGTATATATGTACACAGGTATATATGTATATAGGTATATGTGTATATTTTGCATATGTATGTAAGTATATGTATATATGTATCTATGTATATATGTATAAATGTCATTTATAATGTAAATAGGTATATATGTATATAGGTATGCATGTACGTACGTACGTACGTACGTACGTACGTATGTATGTATGTATGTGTATATGCAAAAATGCATATATGCATATACGTATAAATGTTTATTTGCATGAATGTATCTATGTATATATGTGAAAATGTATACATGGACATGTATTCAAATAAATGTGTATATACTTACAATTCAATATTCTTATAAATGTACATATGTGTATATGTGTATATGATATATGTGTATGTATATGTTATATGTGTATATATATGTGTGTATATAAATATGTACATATATATATATATGTGTGTGTATATGTATGTATGTATGTATGTATGTATGTATGTATGTATGTATGTATGTATGCATGTATGTATGTATGTCATTCATATGTATCTCATATGTATGTCTGTATGTACGTACGTACGTACGTAGGTAGGTAGGTAGGTAGGTCTGTCGGTCGGTCGGTCTGTCTGTCTGTCTGTATGTATGTATGTATGTGTGTGTATGTCTGTCTGTCTGTCTGCATGCATGCATGCATGCATGCATTGATGCATTCATGTATGGATGGATGCATGCATGCATGTATGTATGGATGCGTGCATGCACGTATGTCTGTATCGCTGCATGCATGCATGCATGCATGCATGCATGCATGTAGGTATGGGTGCATGCATGCATGCATGCATGCATGTATGTATGTATGTATGGATGCATGCATGTACGTATGAAAGTATGGATGTATGTATTGATGCATGCATGATCATGCATGCATGCAAGTCTCTATGTATACTGCATACGTGTATGGATGCATGCATGTTACAATGCATGTATTTATTGATGCATGCGTGTATGTATGGATGCATCCATGTATGTACGGGTGCATGCATGTATGTGTGCATGTATGTATGAATGCATGCATGCATGTATTCATGTATGGACGGATGCATGCATGTATGGTTGCATGCATGCTTGTATGGATGGATGAATGCATGCATGTATTTATGCATGGATGCATGCTTAAGGCTGCATGCATGTATGTATGGATGGATGGATGCATGCATGTATGCATGTATCGACGCATGCGTGTATCTATGTATCTATGTATCTATGTATCTATGTATCTATCTATCTATCTATGTATGTATGTATGACTGAATCTATGTAATTATGTATGTATGTATGTATGTATGTATGTATGTATGTATGTATACTGTGTGTATACTGTATGTATAGTGTATGTATACTCTATATATACTTTATGTATACTGTATGTATACTGTATGTATACTGTATGTATACTGTATGTATACTGTATGTATACTGTATGTATACTGTATGTATACTGTATGCATACTGTATGTATACTGTATGTATACTGTATGTATACTGTATGTATACTGTACGTATGTATACTGTATGTATGTGTATGTATGTGTATGTATATGTATGTATGTATGCATGCATGCATGCATGCATGTATATATGTATCTGGGTAAATTACAATATTTCACTACCTTGAATTAAGGCCACTTGAGAGGGGGAACACGAAAGGTAGGTAAGCAAGAAAGGAACCGAAGAAAAAATGAAGGGGAGAGGGGAGGGAAAAATACATAAAGTGGAGTCTGGTAAAAGCGACGCGGCCATTTTCTTTCCAAAAATATGAAGGGGAGTCTGGTAAAAGCGATTGAAAGGCTTCGGCGATGTGGTTGGTGTTGGTGGTGGTTGTGGTGTTGGTGGTGTTGGTGGTGCTGGTGGTGTTGGTATTGTTGGTGTTGTTGGTATCGGTGTTGTTGGTGTTGTTGGTGGTGGTAGTGTTTCTGGTGTTGTTAGTGTTGTTAGTGTTGTTAGTGTTGTTGGTGTGGTTGGGTTTGTTGGTGGTGTTGGTGTTGTTGGTCGTGTTGTTGGTCGTGTTGTTGGTGTTGGTATTGTTTGTGTTCGTGTTGTTGTTGTTGTTGCTGTTGCTGTTGCTGTTGTTGCTGCTGCTGCTGTTGATGGTGTTGTTGTTGTTGTTGTGTGTTGTTGTGTGTTGTTGTGTGTTGTTGTGTGTTGTTGTGTGTTGTTGTGTGTTGTTGTGTGTTGTTGTGTGTTGTTGTGTGTTTTTGTGTGTTGTTGTGTGTTGTTGTGTGTTGTTGTGTGTTGTTGTGTGTTGTTGTGTGTTGTTGTGTGTTGTTGTGTGTTGTTGTGTGTTGTTGTGTGTTGTTGTGTGTTGTTGTGTGTTGTTGTGTGTTGTTGTGTGTTGTTGTGTGTTGTTGTGTGTGTTGTTGCGTGTTGTTGCGTGTTGTTGCGTGTTGTTGCGTGTTGTTGTGTGGTGTTGTGTGTTGTTGCGTGTTGTTGTGTGTTGTTGTTGTGTTGTTGTGTGTTGTTGTGTGTTGTTGTGTGTTGTTGTGTGTTGTTGTGTGTTGTTGTGTGTTGTGGTGTGTTGTGGTGTGTTGTTGTGTGTTGTTGTGTGTTGTTGTGTTGTTGTTGTGTGTTGTTGTGTGTGTTGTGGTGTGTTGTGGTGTGTTGTTGTGTGTTGTTTGTGTTGTTGTGTGTTGCTGTGTGTTGTGTGTTGTTGTTGCGTTGTTGCGTTGTTGTGTGTTGCGTGTGTTGTTGTGTGTTGTTGTGTGTTGTTGTGTGTTGTGGTGTGTTGTTGTGTGTTGTTGTGTGTGTGTGTTGTTGTGTGTGTTTGTGTGTGTGTTGTGGTGTGTTGTGGTGTGTTGTTGTGTGTTGTTGTGTGTGTTGTGTGTGTTGTGTGTGTGTGTTGTGTGTGTGTTGTGTGTTTTGTGTGTTGTGTGTTGTGCGCTGTGCGTTGTGCGTTGTGCGTTGTGCATTGTGCGTTTTGCGTTGTGCATTGTGCGTTGTGTGTTGGTGTTGGTGTTGTTGTTGTTGTTGTGGTTGTTGTTGTTGTTGTCGTCGTTGTTGTTGTTGTTGCTGTTGCTGTTGCTGTTGCTGTTGTTGTTGTTGGTGTTGGTGTTACCCCTGCAGCGTTTTTGCTCGGTTCCGTAGTGGCCGAAAATCGTCAAATCGGTTGTGTTTTCGCGTGTTTTTGCAACTCTCGGAGCAAAAAACACCGTAAATACCGATGTTTTTGGCGGGTCGGAAGCCCAAAACCACAGTATTTACGATGTTTTTTGCCTCTGGTAGTAAAAAGCACGGTATTTACAGTGTTTTTTGGCCAGCACCTAGCAAAAACACTGGTATTTACGGAGGTTTCACCACGTAGCAAAATGTGGTTTCTTGATCCGAAAAGAACAAAAATACTGTAAATTACAATGTTTTGAGTCTGCTCTTAGGGTGCGTGGGAGGTGTGGAGGGGGGGGGGAACTAAAATGACTAGCAATCTCCTGAAGAATCAGGTAACGGGGCTGGCCGCCCTCCCCTTTACTTCGTAAAGTAAAACTCAAGGTAGCCCCTCTGGAGCTACCTTTCGTGATTTGGGGATGATTCCCCTTATTAACCATTATTCCCAGCGAGGTCGCAGTGAGGTCGTTTTAATTTACCCAGATGTATGTATGTATTGATGCATGCATGTATATGTGGATGGATGGATGGATGGATGGATGGATGGATGGATGGATTGATGGATGGATGGATGGATGGATGGATGGATGCATGTAAGTTTGTATGTATCGGTGCATGCATGTATATATGTATGTACGGATAGATTGATGGATGGATGGATGGATGCATGTATGTATGGATGCATGCATGTATATATGTATGTATGGATGGATGGATGGATGGATGCATGTATGCATGTATGGATGTATGAAATTATGTATGTATGTATGTATGTATGTATGGATGGATGGATGGATGGGTGGATGGATGCATGTATGCATGCATGCATGTACGGATGCATGCATGTATGGATGGATGGATGCATCTATGCAGGTTTGTATGGATGCATGCATGCATGTATGTATGAATACATGCATGTATATATATATATATGTATGTATGGATGGATGGATGCATGTATGCAGGTTTGTATGGATGCATGCATGCATGTATGTATGAATACATGCATGTATATATATATATATATGTATGTATGGATGGATGGATGCATGTATGCATGCATGCATGCATGCATGCATGCATGTACGGATGCATGCATGTATGGATGGATAGATGGATGGATGGATTGATGGATGGATGGATGCATCTATGCATGTATGTATGGATGGATGCATGTATGCATGTATGGATGCATGCATGTATATATGTATGGATGGATGGACGCATGTATGCATGCATGCATCTATGTACGGATGCATGCATGTATAGATGTATGGATGGATGGATTGATGGATGGATGGATTGATGGATGGATGCATGTATGCATGTATGTATGGATGCTTGCATGTATATATGTATGTATGGATGGATGCATGTATTCATGCATGCATGCATGCATGTATGTACGGATGCGTGCATGGATGGATAGATGGATGGATGGATGGATTGATGGATGGATGGATGCATGTATGCATTATGTAGAAGACCTGTATATTGCTCTTAAATTATAGATTCAATGTTTTAAGCGCCTCGAAGCCTGCCAGGCGACTCAGCGTGTGGAGCGTCACTTGTGCCTGGGGTCGCTGTCACAAGCGGACGGTGCCGGAATAGGTGAGAAAAATGTTTGAAGGAAATCTTTGTCAGTTTGACTAAGACGTTTGAGATTCGAGTCAGATTCTTTCAGGAAATCTTTGTCATTTTTATTTTGTTTCCTCTTTTTTGCTAAAACTCACGTTTTGTGTGAATTGTCCAGTAACTCTTAACTCAAGAGAGAGAGAGAAAGTGGCAAAGAACACATCTACCAAGTAACTCATCCCATTTTCAGCGTCAATGCTGATCCATCCTATCCTATATAACCTGAAGAAGTTGGTTCATTGATGTGGCTTGGGCATTTCTGGTTCTCAGTCATGCTACCATACCCGCCATTAAACTGAAATAGACATAGCTATGGAGAATTATTGTACCATGTTCAATAGGTAGATAAAGCATGATAGTGGTAAATCATCGAACTACAGTAGTTAAGTGGCATATGTATGCATATGTTCCATAGTTATCTTAAAATATCAGAGTGTGCCACTTTCATGCTTGTGGTTCGACCCATGTCTCTTGACATGGCTCAGAACAGCAGCAGGACCACGGCCAATTTCATCTGACTCTCTGATGTTTTTTACCATGTTTTTTTCCATGAGAAACATGTTGAATGCGACATGGTGGGATAATGTGGGATATGGCTATGACGGCTATGAGTCACAACACTAGGTACCCATAGGTACCCCATAGGTACCCCATAGGTACCCCATAGGTACCCCATAGGTACCCTAAGTCATATAGCTGGTGCACGCGAATTCCCTCCCCAGGCCCAACCCCACCTTGGGGCCGAGGCATCCGTCCACCGCTCGCAGCTGAAGCTCCAATCCTCAGAACGTCTCCACGGGGTTCCCATCGAAACAAAACGCGCGGCCGGGTCGCCAGGATCTTTTAGATGCCAATTCTCTCAGTTTGTTTTTCAAGTATCCACATTTTGACTTTGAAATTATCACGTATTGGGCTACAACTCGATGTACCCTTGGGTTGGCGACAGATTGCCTATGGCACGTAAAATGCTTCGAGGAAAATGAAGTTCAGGGTCAATTTTTGCAGAAACGGGGTTCATCTCTAGTGAAGTATACGATTGCATGAAGTAAAGATTCGTCCATGGCTAAACCTGATGTAACCCACCTGGCGTCGCCTGGCAGACCCTTGAACCATTGGGGGGTTGTTGCAGGGTTCATCCACATGATGATGGCGCTACGGAGATGACGAAAAATACAACAAAATAGACACCCCAGAATAACACCCTTTCCAGCAGTACGACTTGTTTGATGTGTTAAGGATTGTTGAGGAGTTATGATCTTCAGATTTTATCATTGGGTAGGACATTCTTTGATAGCAAAAAAATGCAATAGATCGCTAATTCTGTTTATCATTTATCACCACCTATCAGCCCCCATCAACCAACAAGTCTCAGAGTTGACTCAACCGACCAAGGTGCGATACTTGGTCCCAGGCCGCAAGTTGGTGAGCTCGTGTCGCAGCTCGCCGTTGGACAACCTGCGTTTGTTTCGTTGGGGCTTCAATCTCTTGCGAACATTGTTTCAGCCAGTTCAATGTTCACCTCCAAAAAGTAGGAACAGGTCAAACTCCAAAAAGTAGGAACCGCGATCAACTTCAAAAGGTAGGAACTGCGATCAAAAACCCATCAAGAACACATGAACATCCATGAAAAACAGCAGGGAATAACCAGGAAAAAAACACACAACATCGGGAAAACTAAAAAACAACACATCCAGACATGTCCAGAAAAAAGATGAGAAAAATCCATCAAAAAGGAACGGAGAATCCTTGAAAGAACGCTAAGTCCTACCATCATGTTTTTTGTGGACATTCCATCCTCCACTGCCATCCCTGTGCCCCGGGACCCTGATAGCTTCTCCAGGCGCTCAATGTCCAGCAGCTCCACACGCAAGTGTTTCCAGCGCTCATCGCCTGAGAAGCAGAACCCTTTGAAAACCCCGGCAACGGAGGTTTTAATGGAAAATCATGGGGGTTTATAGCTGTAAAAAACCCGAACTCAATGGAGGTTTGAATGGGAAAATCCACTATCAATGGAGGTGTTCATGAAGAAATTCCCTATAAATTGAGGTCTTCATGGAAAAATCCACTATAAATTGAGGTTTCAATGGGAAAATCCACTAAAAATTGAGGTGTTCATGGGGAAAAAACACTATAAATTATTATAAATTGATGTTTTGATTGGAAAATAGGCAATAAATTGAGGTTTGAATGGAAATTGTCTTTATAAATAAAGGAATGTTAATGGAAAGTCCACTATAGATGGAGGGAAAATGGAAAATCCCCAAAGTAAATGGAGGTTTCGTTCGGGAACATTATCGAACCAGTGCTAGATCTTCTAGCAAGCTGTGACTGATTGCCGGAGGGTGAACTCCGTGCATTGGCTGCAAGTGCCCGTTTTGGAACGTCAATTGTGTCACTCTCCCAGAGTAAGCATCCGGAATCATCCGGAGTAAACATAGCTATGGAAAATAACCATTTAAAATAGGCAATCCATACATAAATGGATGAGTTTCCATAGCTATGGTAGTGTACCCTATGGGTTGAACAACATTCTTCAACGAACCAAGTACCAGTGGTACCAGTGGGATCCGTCCTTGCTGTCACCCGCATCCTGTCCCTGCGCCCAGTCGCCACCCATGAATTCACTCACAGTCAGCTGATATTCTGTTAGCATCTGCCGCACCTCAAGTTGAGGGAGTCACCCAAGACAAGCCCCACGCAATGGGTCTGGGCTATGCCTGAAAAGTTGGCTTTCAGAGAAATTTTATATACATGTATCTGTATCCTATAAAGTCATATGTTTATCAATCTTCCAAAGCAATGTGTTTTATGATGTGAGCTTGTTGCTGTCCTTAGTTTTTCCTGCTGAAATCACGACGCTCACAGATGAAAAAAAACACATGTGGCCAGTTCGAGTACGAAAACTCGCACCGTTCGCTTAAGACCCACATATTTTGGCCATGAAATGTTCTCTTACATCGAAAATAATGGGTTTGTCTGAATTTTTTTGGAGAAAACCCCCAAATCCACTTGTTCATCACCATTTCCCCGGCCATCACTTGGCCCCATTGCCAAATGGTTGGTTACATTAGCCCATTATTGTTGACATATGATATTGCATCCCCATGTGTCAGTCTCTATTGATGGATAAATCCCCAGATTAACTTATCCCCATTAGATTAATAGGAAAAATGGTGATAAACCATTTTTTTTATTGGAATTAGAGGTGCCCTATGTTCAAAGAAACCCACAGTATTTCCCATTGAATCCCCGTGGAAAATCCGAGTGCCGATGGTTAAATATCCCATGTTAATGTTTAACAAAAACACCAACAAAATGGAATATTCCATTATTCTATTATCAATGGCTCATATATAGTAACCCTCAAAAAGGTATCAGAAACCAATTTCCCAGGTTTCCAACTTGTCTATCTTTTTGAGGGTTACTATTATCGGATAAGGGTCAAAATCACCAAGCCCCGAAAGGGATGGTACTAAACATCAGCAGTTTTGTGGCTCCATTTGGGGCCACAATCATCTTCTGGCCGTTCTGGCGTTGCTTCCCCATGAAAATCCCCATTCATCCCTATGAATTCCTGTGAATTTCCACATTTTCCATTATATCCCCAGGAATTTCCATAGAGATCTACCATGATATACCAAAACTCTCCAAGTCCCTGCGCCTGGCTGGGTGGCGCCTGCCAGCGGATCGCCAGGGAGGGCACCAGAGCTGGCACCGCCTCTTCTGCGCGGATGCTCGGGGCAAGCAATGCCTCACGGCCAGGCTGTTGGGATGGGAAAATGGATTGGAAAGTCCGGGAAAACCATGGAATTCATGGGAAAATCTAGGGAAAACCACGGAATTCACGGGAAAACCTAGGGGAAACCATAATTTGGACCATCAAATAATCGGAGTTTTCCAGGTGTTTTCTGCAGGGTATTTCATCAGTTTGAAGCTTAGTCTGGGAATGGAACATTGGTAGCGTAACTATGGTTGGCCCCAGGGATTTTTATGTGGCTTGTAACCCACGCTCTTTCCCACATGTTTTTGGGACGGAGAATCCGTCAGTAAAATGGAGATGGGTACTGTAAATACCCATGTCTTGCCGGTTGCCTGGATCATCCTGGAAATAGTCATCGCTTCTTGGTAAGTGAATCATAACCCCTGAAATGTATTGAAATGTACCAATGTTGAAGGGGGTTTAATCCATAGCAACACTGCACGAATTTCAAGGATCATCCAAGTATCGAAAAGATGGCCTGGCGTCTAGCTTACTAAATACTGGGGCCAGCAGAAATGGTGCATAGAATCGAAGTTTGCACAGTGTGAGCAGCCAACATTCAATGGAATCAGATGGAATCAGCATCAACCACCAAAGTGATCCAAAGGAATATCACGGGCCAATGATTGGCCCATGAGAAGGGGATATGGCAAACCGCTCTTTTTTTGGCACGAGCTTGAGATAGCCATAAAACTGATGACATCTGATGACATCTGATGACTAATATTGACTTATCACAGACATCATCCTTCCACTGAGAGTCCGAGGCATAACTGGTCTGGACAGCCACGGGCAGCAGGGCAGGGGTCACGCACTGAGATCCCACGTCTTCGGTTTCCAAGTCCTCCGTCTGGGTTGACATCACCAGCTGACTGAGGCAGTCCCGGCCCTTCCTGGAGCTGCCAGGGCGAGGGTGCCACCCAAATCAAGATACAAATGTAGAAGTAGATCACACACATATGTGTACGTGTGTATATATGTGCGCGTGGCATGTATATCTATGTGTATCTATATATATATATATGTGTGTGTCTGTGTGATGTAATGTAATGTCATGTAATGTCATGTCATGTAATGAAATGAAATGAATGAATGAATGTATATATGAATGTATGAATGTATGAATGTATAAATGTATGAATGTATGAATGTATGAATGTATAAATGTATGAATGTCTGTATGTCTGTATGTATGGACGTATGTAACTGTATGTATTAATGTACTAGTGTATTAGTGTACCAATGTATTAATTAACGTATTCATGCATTAATGTATTAACGTATTCATGCATTAATGTATTAATGTATTAATGCATTAATGTATTAATGTATTAATGTATTAACGTACCAATGCATTAATGTATTAATGTATTGATGTATTGATGTATTAATGTAATGTAATGTAATGTAAATGTAATGCAATGTATATACTGTAATGTATGAATGTATGTATGAATGAATTTATGAATGTATGACTGTATGTGTGTATTTGTATATGTGTATGTGTGTATATGTGTATATGTATATATGTGCATATGTATATGCATATGTATAATTATGTATATGCATATGTATATGTACATTATATGTATATGTATATTTATATGTATATGTATGTGTATATATGTGTATATATATATATGTATATATGTATATGTATACGTATACGTATATGTATATGTATGTGTATGTGTATGTGTATGTGTGTACGCATATGTGCATGCAATTTCCATATACAATAATCACATATAGACAAATTAATGACGGTGCAACTAATTCAGAGTACCCACTACATAAGCCTGGTACAGTTGTGCATATCTGGTGCACATGTCTGTTACACATATGTATAGTTTACGTGTAGTATTATATTATCATTTAATATATATATATATATATAATTAATATATATATATATATCATTTGCCAAATGTGTAGTACGAGGTAGCTTTGAATGTAATTTTATATCGTTTACCAACATTATAATATCATTATGTTATCATTTACAGTAGGTTTGAAGCTACCAAATGTTCGGCTCAGCCACTGATGTGCTGAGAGCTCCCGGATCAGCACCCTCTTCCCACAGCGAGGGCAAGGGATCATCACCTGGCGAAGTCCGGCAGGTCCGACTGGTAGATCCCCAAAAGTTCGAATTTCGCTTGGGTTTGTTCAGCCTGATTCTCAAGCCCATTAGTTTGGGGATTTCATGTTAAATCTTCTGGTTTCTCTTTTGCAGGGAGATTCTGGCAGCCTTCCCAACCAAAAAAACGAAACAAGTGAATATCATATCGATATACTCATTACCGTTTTGTCAATCACTTACCTGTGCATTTGGATTGACCCAGTCACTTCCCTCTCAATCACTCAAACAGCTTCAGCTCAGCTCAGGGCTCCGACAGAGGCGGAGGTCTATCTTTCAACAGTGTCGCAAAAAATACGTTCAAAAGTCAAAACCATCCAAAATCTGCGCGTTCGGCCCAACAGTTCGACCGTGTTCGACCCGTAGCGAGGTGAGTCTACCCATGGCGAAACAATTCTGCACCTCCAGACATTCCTTCTGATGCGCCAGCAGGTCTCGTTGCGCCACGGCCATTCCACAGAGACCACACTGCACAGGAGGACTTCCCAAGCGATAGCCTCGAATGGTGGGAATCCCAGCCACATGGACTACTCTGCATGAATTGTTCAAACGGACTACTTCAACTTGGGATAGATAGGACCATTTGAATGGGATAGATGGTGATTTATAATTCCCATTGTGGATGAATTATCCCATTAATTATCCCATCAATGATCTAAGGTCATTAAGTCATTGTCCTACTTATGCTCCCGATGCATCCCGATGCCATGAACTATCCTAGATCATTTATTTGCCCCAGATGGATTCCTTTCAGCGACACCGTTGGCCTTGAACGGGTCGATCGACACCACAAGGTGGACCCCCCAAGATGTTATAAGTTGGTTTCTTAAGCCCATGAACTACAGATATCTCTGCCATAAGCCTTAGTTATTGGAGTTATACACCAACTTAGCTATCTAGGGGTCCCCACTCTGCAGATGCTACTTGCAAGTTCTGTGAATTTTTTGTTAACTAAACATGTTAAACATGTTGACTCCATCGTTGTCCAGCGAATTGGGACAAGTGGCAAGTGGCTGGGGCATACGCGGCATACCCCGATTTCCATCCAATTTACACATGACCAAAGAATCATGGTTGAACAATGTTGAACATATAGTCTCCCAATATATTCCCACTCGAGCCCGATTTCGTTGATGGCTAACCGACTGACCAACCCCGCATTTATCACCATACTTCCCGATTTTGTTGATGGTTGTGCCCATGTATCACAGTCTAATTTTCAGACATTACCCATCAATATCCCACTATATTCCATTGTATTCCCATATTATGGTTGCCAGCATTTGCTAGCATACCCCATCATATCCCCATCTGAAAGACTACAGCAATTGGGGACATGTAACCTCGGATAAAGATTTCGTTGATAATCCAAGCTTGGTTTAATGATAAGGGAAAAGCCACAGCCAAAAGCAGTTACGTTTTGACCTCAAGAATCATTTTCCGGAGCATGTTTCCCCTAAACCACAATGAGGATCTCCTCCAAGAAATGGTAAGAAATGGTTCATCATTTCCCCAGCCCCAGCCATCTGGGGATGGGTACTAGGGGGTAGGGGGTTTGACTCATCGCCATCTCAGGGTGTTCCATTAACCATCCAGCTATTGGGGTACCATGACTTAGGAAACCCCTGATACCTGAAAAATCCATAAAAATCCTGAAAATAAAGGCTAGTTTATTGGGATGATTATTTGATTATGATTAGTTATGATTCCAGGTCGCTCAGAAGGTCAGCAAAAAATCAGTTGTTCAAATCTCGGGGTATACCCCGATCTGATGAAATGAGTCCAAGCTTCTCATCAGGTCCCCAACGGGCCGCCAATCCCTCCAGTCTTTCAGATCCGCCGTCAGCACCACGGACATCAGCAGGACGCCTTCACCGTTGCCATACCTCCAGCGATCCACATTTCAAACGCTGGTGAAGATGTGGAAAACCATGGAAAAACAGAGTGAAAATGTGCAAAAACCTACTGAAAATCAGGAAAAGCCTAATGGAAATGTGGAAAAATCTAGTGAAATGGGAATGTGGTGAGGATATAAGCAACCAGAATATGGGGATATAATGGAATATAGTGGGATATAGTGGGATATGCAATCTCTATCTCTCTATCTCTCTCTCTCTCTCTGAAATATGGACTTAATCAACCATAATCTGGAATTCACATGATCAGGCAAAATCTGGAACCAAAAAACAAGCATGGAGATTTGACTGTATTTAACACACTTGCTACACTAGGTAATTTGGTGCCTTGAAGTGCCAAATATATCCCAACCCGTACTGTATAACCATGCCAACCATGCCCACACTTTAGCCTAAAGCCTCAGCAAGTGTGTGAACATTGGCACAATGTCCAGTCCAAGGATTGATCCTTGAAACCACTTAAAAATCCCAATAATTGGATCGCTGTTCACTTGGCTGTGCTGTGCCAAATCAGTTCATCTCTAGTTAAATCTCATCTTTCATCATTGTTCCATGTTTTTTTTCTGTATGATCTTGATTGATCCCATCCTTCAAACCCCCTTCCCCATCCTCCCATGGCCAGGTGGCAGATGGGGATCCGGCTGGGCCACCACTTCCCCCGTGAGTTTCCCATCCGCGTCCCGGGCCAACAACTGTGGCGGGGCACCTTAGGTTGGCGTGGCCGCGGCCTAGCCGCAGCCATGGAGCTGGGAAAATCCTGCCACGTTGGAGTATGGTGATTTCTTTGGGCAATTTCTCACCTTTGATCTCTGAATTACTCTGAGTACCCTATTGTGAAATTTACCAATCCAGAAACCCTGGTTGAGACTTGGATCTAGTCATTTTGCAGGGCCGGGGGGGTGCAATACTGGGGGAAGGAATGAATTAGTAATAGTATATAAACCTCCCACGTTTGAAATGCATGGGGTGGAAAAAATTTGAACCTATGACCCATTCCGTTTTAATCAATCTTTCCAATCAAGTCCAGATGCGACCCCGGCTCCAAAGTGCTATACTTTTTGCTTCAAATGGACTGGCCCGAACTTCCACAACCGCAGGGTTCATCCGGAGCAAACATCAAATGAATCAGGCGAGCCTGACTTTCACAACTTGGTGTCAAATGTTCCATCTGAAAAGATTCTAGCACCATTGCAAGCCCGTTGGCCAACCCCTCCAGCCCAGCCCTTCCCAGCCCCTTCCCAGCCCCTTCCCGGGCACACAGCGCATGCCGCGCGATCCACGACTTGGCAGCGGCCACCAGGTCCAGCCCTGAGCCTTTGCCGATGCGCCGCAGCGACTCCCCGTCCATCAGCATCAAATAGGCCGAGACGCCTGACATCCTCGGAGGGCTGGGGCGCTGGGGGGGCAGGGTCAATGGAGGAACATGGAATAACTCGGTCTGAGCGGTTATCAGTTGCAGTTGTGGGGAGGCTCTGGAGAACCAGCATCTTTTGGGATGGTAACTAGCTTGTTCTGAGAGGGAAGGAGGTTAAACTGTTAAACTTGCCAAAAAAGAAAAAGGCTGCTACGCACGTGCTATGGTGCAGTTGCGACTACACATAGTTGTTTTTCCAGGATTTCACCTCATGTTTTCATAAGAAACTTCCAGTGTCCACCCAAAATTCATCGTGATATGTGCAAACACATCCAAACACTGCAAATTACGCTTGTAAGATCCAATTGTTGGCATATGTTGGCATAATGGCATAATTATCCCATTTTTAAGCCCAAGTGGTGTTGTCTAAAAGACATCGTATCCCTAAATCCCATTAAATCCCCTGGTTCTTCATGTTCCCACAGCTGTTGATCTAAGATATCTAAGTGGCTGCTTGGAGAGCGGACGCAGGTCATAGCGCACTGCAAAACTGTAGGGCGGCTGCTGGGCTGAGAGCCCAGAGGAATCTCGAAGTTGGAGAAAGGACCTCCGACCTCGAGGAAAACCATGGAGTTTTCCCACGATAGGGGAGACTTGGCGGCCAATTTGGCAACAGTGGGGATAGAAAGTATCGATGTATATATTCACCATTCCAGAATGAAGTCATCAAATATAATATGCGCTGCGTTGCTCACTTTGACCACCACAAGTGTAGATTTAACTCACCGATATGATGATACTCACTGATATTTCAAAACAAATGTGGTTTCATGACATGTTTCATGACATGTTTGTTTTTCCCTCGAAATCCCTCAAGGGGAGCTTTGCCAGCCAGAGATGTCTCTTGCTCAAGATTTATCTAATAGATCTGCATTGGCATCTTCGAAGGTTTGTTTCCCTTTGTCTTCATCTCCGCGCATGTATACACATACATACATACATATATATATATATATATATGTGTGTGTGTGTGTATGTCATAGTATCCACCTAAAATAGTAAACAAAATATAATATACAATCATATGGTATACATTATGTATATATGTGTGTGTGTGTCTGTGTGCAGCAATATGTAATTATTGTGCGGATATCTTAATCGATCGCATCCAAGTGGCAGAAGTGCCCAGGCCACACTGGCGGGGGCCAAAGCTCGTCCGCTTGATCCTGTCGGACAGCGAACTGCCCAAGTTTGACGCGTGATTCGACACTATTCAACCATCAAACTAGGGATTTCATCATGAACAATTGAGGATTTAACTGATTTAACCATCAAACCGACCATCCCAAAATGTGGTTTCAATATAATTTAAGATGTGGTTTTACCATCATGGAATGGGGATATGCATATCATCAATGTAACCTGAAAAATTCTACCATGCAGGGACCCCAAAATGCATGTGCATGGATCCAATACTAATCCAGGGTTTCAATCGAGATATAATGTAGGGAATATTGGGGAGAAGGGTTGCTTGTGCAGATATATATATATAATTATTCATATGTGTGTATAGTGTATGCATCACATATGAGACATGAAATTGCATGAAGTGATGTGATATGATACGGAAACTATATGATTTACAGTACTTATATTTGATTCCAGACTCTAGTATGTCAATATGCGTGAGTATGTGCATATGCATTGATCTAATTGTCCATTAAAGTTTTTATATGTGTGCTCTATTTGTCTATCTATCTCTCTCCATCACTGTCAGGTCACCCTGCCCGGCCCTAAGACAAATCTATCTGAATCTATCTGTCTATCCATTTAATTCTTGTGGTTCTTAACCCAAGAAAATCCTCCAGCCAACTGCCATTCATCTGCTTCGCCCCACCAAGGTGCCTTGGGGACCTCATTGAGCCATCGCTCCTTCTCCGAGCACAGCCCTACGTCTGTCATGGCGCCATGGCATCGCGGCTCGGCGGCTCGGCTTCCCGGCTGAGCCAACGCCATGGATCAAGGTTGAGTTCATCCCCTGAAAATGGTCGAACTGAAAAATTCCAACGGCAGAAAGTCATCACACCCAACTCATAGTTCTTGGAGGGTTTCATGATAGAGCTCAGGGAGAAAGAGGCCGGTGGAAGGACCCAGAATGATGTCGAAGAATTTCTGAGCTGACGTGACCGACAATTGACCTTTTGCCAGAATCACAAAGTCCAGACTGGACTTCCATACTTCTTCACCAGACCCCCGTACTTTCCACAAATCGTACAAATAAAACAATATAAAACCATATAAAACCCTGGATTTCCCCTAGAAATGTTGTCAAAATCCACTTGCAATGAAGGACCGGTCGATACCGATGGCCCCAATCGATGACCCCCAAAGGGCTTGAGTTTCCGCACCATGACTCCCTTGATGCCAGCCCTCTTGGCTGCACTAAGCTGTCGATGCAACTGCTCCTCGCAAACTCCAGGTCAAATAGGAACATGTTGTAAGATGCTGGAAGGTGACTACTCATTGCATTATATTGATCATGATTATCATCATTATTATTGTTATTACTGTTATTATCATTATTATTATATATATTATATATACAGTATGGTCTGGATAGTTTTAACAATGTAAGACCATATTGGGGATGATTCCCATTGCCAACCATCATTTCTGGTGAGGGCGGTGTGAGATCGCTCCGAAAATATGCAGACAACAAGCTTGTGTAAGGCCATGCAAGGCCCGGTTTTGAAGATCCAGTTTCAATCTCAGGTGGGTCAAAACCCAGCAAAGATCGGAGAGACTCTTGAAAAACACTCAACAAATCATGGTGTTTACGGTATTTAATCATTTTATGAGGCATGACATGGCATGACAACCATATTCTTCAGCTTCAAATTGTGTCTCAAATTCCCGTGGCAATTTCTCACCCAAAAGACCGCATCCGGTGCTTCAAGGTGACCCCGGCGCCGGGGCGCCTTATGGCGAAGAGACTGGCCGTCATCTGAAAGCCAATCCAACTGCAGCATCACATAGATAGGCACCTCACAGGCTCGCACCGAGGCTAGAGGTCAGGGCAAGATGCCTCGAGACGTTTTGGCATGTGCTATGGTGTGTACTGATGGTATAACTATGGTGCAACAATGTGTAATAATGAAAACAATGATTAAAGAAATGATGATACATAAATCAAACAATAAATGAATAAATAGATAAATAAATGTAAAAAATGTAGTTATATAAATATGTTAATTTTCAAAAATAAATACATTGAATACATTAAATACAAAAATAAGTAAATAAATAAACAAATAAGTAAATACATACATATATACCTAAGTAAATAGATACATAGATTAATACATATATATAACTAAATAAATACATACATACATACATAAATGAACGAATATATTTAAAGAACAAACAAACAAATGCATAAATAATTTTAAAAAAATAAAGAAACAAAAAATCAAATAAACAAATAAATAATTAAAAAACATAAAAATAAATAATAAATAAATAAATAAACGTAAAAATAAATAAATGAATAAAAAAATAAATCAATAAAATTAAATAAATAAATAAACATAAAAATAAATAAACAAATAAATAACAAATAAATGTATCAATCAATAAATCAATGAATAAATAAATGAATCAATCAATAAATGAATAAATCAATGAATAAAAAATGAATCAATCAATAAATAAATAACTAAATAAATCAATAAATAAATAAATAAATAAAAAAGCGTGAATTTGGTACGGAATCGTCAGCAGCCCACCAATTTGGCAAGTAGCGGCAGGACTCAAGGGCCCTAAGATCCAAACGGCAACAGCATTTACATGTCAACCCAGGTTTCAAAAGAATGCGACATGATGTCAAATTGACACTCAACCGGTTCTACAGGTGACATGTGGCCATACCAAAAAATGCTGTTCTCTTGCATCGGGCTGCTGAGCTAATCAGCTTAGGGTCCTAGCGTTTCGGCTGTGCTTGCTTTTGCACTCTGTACAAGTTGTCCTTCAGGACTCGCAGCATGAAATCAGGCTTCATGGACTTGGTGAGACAATCCGAAATCAACCGGATGCCGAAATCCATTCCATAGAGTCTCCTCCGTTCCTCATCGAAGTCTGGGTCTTCTGACCGTCACGCCACAAATTGTCATGAATGGCGGTCAGCTCAATGCCAAGCCGCTTGTCTTGCACGCGAGCCGGAATCTCGGCCGCCAGGTGATCTGCAAGACTTCGACAATCTGTGAAAGCAAGATGTGGTATGCACATCCTTGAATCCTCTTCCCACTTCTGTCGGCTCCACATCTGGCCCTTCAACTCGGCGATCACTCCTCTGAGTTTGTCACCAGCAGGGAATAAGTCTCCGCATGCAGTGTAGATCTGCACACCCGGCGAATTGCTGTAGAGCCATTCAAGGTAATATGAGAGCAAACCAACTTGCCCTTGCCAGGTTTGCCTTTTTGGCGAAACTTGCCCTTGCCCTTGGCTTTGCCAAAAGCTGCATGAGCTGCCAATTGCAGTTGAATCGCATCACCAGCTTGCTTCTCGTCTGCATCTTCGACATCCATCAAACCGTTCAATGCCATTGCTTCGTGCTCATCAACATCATCGAAGTAGTCATAGTCATCCTCACCACAGTTGCTTGAGGTTCATCTTCAATTCCTCCAAGAAGACTAGCGCAGGATTCATCCTCATTCCAAGTTTGTTCATCATGCCAATGTTCATCCCAATGTTGCTCTCATCAACGTCCTCCCCATCGGGGTAGGCGGTGTAAGCTGAAGGTGGATACAAACCCTTTGCAGAAGAAGATGTGTACTTCCCAATTTCCGGGGCCCTTCCCACTCGACTTTCCATGCAATGTAGATGTAGGCGCACGTCCTGTCCAGGATTGTGATCGTTTGACAAGTACCTTGGCGACACCTTTAAAGTCCTTGGAAGTTGCACCTCCTCGGACTACCAGTCCTTCTTGTCGTGTCAAACCAGACAATTCAAGCATCAGTTCCATCATCACCACCCCCTTAAGGGGAGGGGTGGGGTCAGGTCCAACCCTCATCTCGTTCCATTTTTCCGCTTGCTCTGTCAATGGCTTGGAAATCAAATCCAAAAAAATAGCCCCCCAAATTCTAGTGTTCTCATGGTTGAAACACTTTCGATGCTGATTCGTTTGTGTAATGCCTTTTTTTATACACGAAATTCTTTTTGAATCTGATTATATCATGTCACATATCTATATATTATATAATTGTTTTTTAACCCCGCCAGTAGGAAACATCGTGTACATCCTTTAAATCGGGCTCATCAAAATTGCTAAAGAACAATGTTGAATGAAGCTGTGCTCTCCCAGCAGCACCACTCAATGCGCACTTTTTCCAGGACTCTCCGGAAACCCGCTGACTGACCATCGCCACTGCGACCTGTTAGAGGCGGCTATAGTTTCAGGGCGTTTCCGAAAGTAGAACAATTACACGGATCGTTCATGGGTTCGTTCGTTTTGACAATCATAGTGCAATTAGTTTCTTGCCCAAACCATCCACACCATCGGATTTCAAGCCGTACAAGAGTTGGACATACGCACGGGTATGATCTGGTATGCAATTAGTTGTGGTGGGCATGACCGGCACCACCTCGGATGCCCTAAGTTTGCAACTTCATTTTAATCAGCACCATGCGTGCCTGTATGGACATGACCCCTGATGTAAATATTTGACAAAGCAAACCTGTTTAGACACCAATGTTGGGTCATCGTTAACAGAGAACTTCGGGGGTTCGCATTTGTCACTTTTGTTGGCTTCTCGCCCCTACCATACTATTGGTTTAGTATACCCAGCATTCTTTCCCCAGCCCAAGACACAGGCCAAGCAGCTGGGGCAACTTCTGCGGGGGTGCAGCAGCAGCGGCGGCGCAGCAGCAACAAATGCTCATGCTGCCAAACAGCCACAACTGCTGCGTTGTGCTATATTGAGCGGATCCCACATTGCAATTGGTCTGGTGCGCTGCGACGTGCTGCGACAAAAAGAGCCGATCCCCCATTGCTATTGGTCTACGTCCCCTGCAGGCGGGAACCCTTGAATTCAAATGAACGAAGTGTCGAGAACATGTGCAATGTAGCAGTATATGAAAAACAGCATTTGGACACAAGATGACACAAGTCTAGGCATCTGCTGCATTCCTTGATCAATGTAAATATAACACTGCTAATTGAAAAGATCGTATATGTTTAAATACTTTCACGATTCTCCACAGCCCTGCGTGGGAGACGTAGCCAAGGCGCAAGCAACTTAGCTTTAATAAAATTGCCTACCCCTACAAACCTACAGGCCAGTATCATGCCGTATGAAACCATGTTGGCATCACTGTGCGCCACCGGATGCCACCGTACATGGAGCAGCTTCCCCAGCTGTAGCAGCCCCCTGGGCTGTAGCAGCCCCCAAGGATGCAGTCTTCATCAAACACTAGGCATCTTCACCTTGCATATCCTTGCATGAAGCCTCTGGCAGCTTTCCTTGGCCTTGGACAATCCTAAGTAACCTTCAGCTTCACATTCTTGGATAGCTCGGCATGGGCATCAGCAGGCGTCTTTTCTGGCTTCTGGTTTGTTGTCTTCTGTCTTCCCCTTCCTTGTTGCCCAACCCGACTTGCCAGGCTTGCCAGGCTTCCCAGACGAGCGAGACTTTCTCTTGCTAGCCTTGCCATTTTGGTCTTTGGCAACTGATGCCCGGGAAGCTTCCAAAAGCTTGTCTCGAAGCCTCTCCGCCGCGTCGAGAACCCCTATACTAGTGGACTAGCACATAGAATATTCGATTTTATTGACTATGCAGTTAGAATATCCTTAAAACCATATGTCCCCGGGGTAAAACCAGTGCACTTAGAATATTCGATTTTTGCACATGTATAACATAATTTAAACATAAAAGCATGATTTTAATAGAAATTTAGGACTGTTTCACAAAATCGATGCACATAGAATATTCTTTGCATGCGT